AATGTTTGAGTCTATATTCTTGTTCTTTATGCAGTGTTCCAAATTGAAGCTTGGAATTACTTTTCAAAGACAATTCCAAAGACACTGAAATGTAGCCCACTTCTAGTAGCCACTCTTATCTGACAGGTGATGGACAATAACTGACCCCAATGCACACTGGTTTCTCAAAATAGTTTCTCCAAGGGCTTCTCTAGGATGTGATTCATTTTCTCGGTTTTTCACATAGATTTTTGCCCCCAGGTAGCATGTAGCTTCGAAGTAATCTGTGAGACATTATTTGCTTTCTGAGTGACTTCTAAAGCAAATACGGGCCCTTAATGGAACTGGAAATCCAAAGTGAGGGATTATTTCCATCAGCAATTGTTCAGCAAATTTTTCAATTTTTCCTCATCCTATTAGGAAATATTTCAACTCATCCCACACAAGCGATACTTATAATTGCCAGTGGTTCTGGGTGCTTGCATAAAATACACTTTCCAGTTTTCAAAAAGGCATTTTCCCCAACATTGACAATATTGAACCCCAGTAGTTTTCAAGTGTGATTTAATCTTGGGGTTATGCTTGGTGCATAAATGGCAACCTTGAGTGAACAATTGAGTCAATGTATGCAAATAGATGCCCTTTAAATCTGGGAACATGTAGTAGGGTCACTCCCATAGTGGGATCCCTCATGTACTGACGTCTCACCTTCAGGTGCACTCTGGGAGTTGTATCATTCCATGTGAGTTCACTCTTCAAACAGAGCTGGGGTTGAAGTTAGTGAACCCCCATTCATGGGCCTTTTCAGAAGAGGAACCTAGTCTAAAGATTGAGTCCATGTCTAAATCAAAATACACACAAAGAGAACTCTAGTGAAGTAAAACCAAATTCCTATAAATTAGAAACAGAAGACTCCCACCACATGCCCTGCAATTGCAATGCCCTTATAGTGATGAAAATAAGGAAGGATTTCTTTGGGAATACTACTCAGCTATAAAAAAAAAAAAGAGGTGAAATTTTGCCAGTTGCCACAAAATGGATGGACTGGTGGTGATAGTGCTAAGTAAAATAAGTCAGAAGGAGAAAGACAAATGCTAAATGATTTCATTTCTGTGAAATACATAGAAGCAAGGCAAAGGAACAGACAAAACCAGACCAAAACCCTTGAAATCTAAATGCAGAACTGAAGATACCAGGAGGGAAATGTGTACAGTGAAAAGTAAAGCAGGGAGTGGGACCAATGGACCCTGATGAAGGATTATGGGTGCTTTGGTGGTAGGTATGGTATAATTACATACATTTGAAGAAGTATGAACCTATAGTCCTAAAATATATACAGTGTTGTAAACCAATATTACTGCCATAAAATTAATTTAATCCAAAAGGCAGAAAAAAAACCCAAGGTGAATACCTTAATTTAAAAACTTTTTATTGCAAAAAATATTAACCATTATCTGAGCTGCTGGAAAAATAACTTCAATAGAGCAACTCAACCCAGGTTGCCACAAACCTTCAATTTGTAAAGAGCTCAATATCTGTGAAGCATGATAAAGTAAAATTGAATGAAACAAATGAAACAAGGAATGTCTGTTTTAATATTGGTGCTTTAATTCTGACAAATGCACAGTAGCCATGTAAGATGTTAATGGGAAGCTGTATTGCAAGGCACACAGGAAATTTGCAGTACATGTAAACTTGCATGTAAATTTGAAACTTCTGAAATTAAAAGTTCAGAAGGAAAAAATGTCTGAAACTAAATTTTTTAAAAATCCTAGAGTGAAGGGAATTTTATCTCAAAGAAATTTCTCTTTCCTAAACTAGAAAATGTATAAAATCTTTCAAAGAAACACTAATTCAAAAGATGGAGGTATGCCAATGTTCATAGCAGCTTTATTCAAATTAGCCAACAGAATACTACTCAAATACTTTTTTAATAAATTTTATTTTTATATTCCCCATACAATTGCAACCCCCTTATTTTTACCCCAATCCCTCCCCTCCCCGCCCCCCACCCCCCACAGAGTGTCTCTGGTTCATAGTTTTTTGTTGATTTTGATTTTCAGTTTCTTATAGTTATTCATTTTCCTGGTCCCTTATTTAATAAGTTTTCTAGATTCCTGCTATGAGTGAGACCATCCGGTATTTTTCTTTTTCTCTCTGGCTTATTTCACTGAGCATGATACCTTCCAGCGCCATCCATGTTGCTGCAAATTGCATGTGTTTATCTTTTGTGAATGCTGAGTAATATTCCATGGTGTATATGTACCACATCTTCTTGATCGAGTCATCTATTTTGGGGCATTTGGGTTGTTTCCAAAGCTTAGCTATTGTAAATAGTGCTGCTATAAACATAGGTGTGCAGGTGCTCTTTGGAATTGATGTTTCTGTGTCCTTTGGGTAAATACCTAAGAGTGGAATTGCTGGATCATATGGAAGCTCTGTGTTTACTCAGATACTTTTAAAGAGGTGAAATCTTGCCTTGTGTGACAATGTGAATGGAGCTTGAGGTGATTATGCTAAGTAAAATAAATAAGAAAGTGCTTTCTCACATATGTATGGTATAACAACCACAGAAAATGAATTAACAAAATACAAGAATCTAAATCTTAGGCGGAAAAATATGGTGATTACCAGAGGGGAAGCAAGAAGGGGAGTTGGAGGAAAGGGTAGGGTGAGTTAATTTGAGAGTGTACACAGCTGTGCTCCCAAAATTTATACAGCTTTATAAACCGATAGCAAACCAATAGATAGATAGATTTGTGTGTGTGTGTGTGTGTGTGATGTGTGTTTATATATATATATATATATATATATATAAAATCAAAGACTGATTTCTAGTGAAAATGTAAATTGGTATAATCATTTGAAAAATAGTATTGAGAGTTTCCAAAAAATTAAGAAAAGAACTATCAAATCCACTTTTGGGTATACCCAAAGGAAATGAAATCACTATCCCAAAGAAATATTTCAGTTCCATGTTTTTGCTGCATTATTCAAGTAGCCAAGTAATGGAAACAATCTAAGTGCCCATCAACATGAATGAATGAAGAAAATGTAGTATATACCATACAGAATGGGGTATTGTCATCCGTAAAAAGGAAAGCAATCCTGGCTTGGACATGTATGGGACTTAAGGGTACTATACTAAGTAAAATAAAAGGGGCAGAGAAAGACAGATATGATATCACCTGTTTATGGAATCTAAAAAAAATGAATTTATAGAAATAAGAGATCAGATTGGTGGTTGCCAGAGGTGGGGTGTGGAACTAGAAATGGATGAATGTAGTCAAAAGGATTATAACATAAATAATCTTGGCATGTGATGTACAGCATGGTGACTATAGTTAACAATACTGTATTGTAGCAGAAAGTAAATCTTCAAAGTTCTCATTATAAGAAAAAAGTTGTAACTAATAAATGTTAACTAAAAGTTACTGTGGTCATCATTTTTCAGTTTATACATATATCAATTCATTATGTTGTGCACTTTCAACATCCACAGTGTTATAAGTCAATTGTATCTCAATAAAACTATGGGAGGGAATAGAAAAATGACTGCTTTCTGCCAGTTCTAGTTTTTCTGCCTCTCATCCTTTTACTCAGCATTTCCCAGCTTGAGTTCAATCCCTTCAAGAATCCTTTCTAGACAATTTGAACTATAGCCAGCCTCCCTGTCCTCTGAAATCTCCGATGGTTCTCATCTCTTTCCAACTCCAGTTCAGTGACATCATACGCTTGTTTTGACCATGGTAGGAGTGTTTACATATTAGAAATTAGTAAATCCTATAAATCAAGGTTTGGCCAGCATACCACTGTTATAGTCTATGCCACCCACTTTAGCATTCTTTTCATTTTTCCTTTTTATGGGACATGGATATTTCATGTCACTGTTTCTAGAATAGTTAATGTGAAATCCTCAGGAGTCAACTTGCATGGTTGAATATATTTCACTGGCCCAAACTAGAGTGGCTATACAATAGCTTCCTGTGTACTGGTGGGTGAAAAATTCTACCCCAGGACTCGAATAGGAAATCAATGGGAACAATTCCGGCCTTTGACATCTCTGATAATCTATTTACATATCTGAAAAGGAATAGAATTGAAAGAGATGGTCTGAGACTCAGTCAGATTGGACATTCCTGAATTCTCCTGGGTCAGAGTGGTAAGGATGAACTCTTCCAATATCTTCATTCTAAGTATGTGGACCCAAGGGCTGATAATGGAAAGTCTCATGATCAAGTGAGTTTGGAAAATGCAGATCCAACTAACACAGATTTATTTCTCTGACTGCAGGACTTCCAGTATTTAACCAGCTTGATACTTGGGACACTCAGAAATGGAAGGAGAAACAGCAGTTCCAAACTCATGTGGGTGTGAAATCTCAGGAACTGGCACACTTAGCAGTCTATTTCAGGGCAGCCCAGGGGAAACATAATCAAATTTAGATCTTAATTGGAAGAATGCATCATTCATTCCTCTGTGCATCTTTTCCCTTGCCTTGAGTTTGAAGGAAGACTTGGAGGGAAGTAAGTTGGGGTAACCTGGACTTACTGAGTGCATTTGGACAACTGACTCATTTTCAAATAGTTAAGCATTCAAGGCAGAATCCACAGAGGAAGCAATTTGTTCTTATCTCTGCTGATGGCAAATATTTATATTGCTCTTCTCTAAGACATTACCTTGTTTACCTTCACAATACTCCACCCTGTGAAGTTGAGGAGACTGTTGTTCTTAATCTGCATGCAGGTTATCAATGCCGGTGTTGACAGTAGTGTTAGGAGCAACCCAAGTATAGCTCTTCTTCAATAATCTGGATTTTCCCCTACCTAAATTTTAGAACTTCTTAAATACTTTCTAAAAATGTGGCTTTGTCTGTTACTGGCTGAAGAGAAAAAAATAATAATGCTGGCTTATATTTTCATTTATAATGCTGTTGTGTTTGGACGGTGCTTTTACAACTATTATCTCATTTTGCCATCACAAAAAAATTGTGAGATCAATAGAACGTTCTTATGTTACAGAGAAAAAAATGAAAGCAACTGGAGTTTCAAGATGTCTCAGCTTATCAGAGCACGCAGAGGCATCGGAGCTGTGGCACCAGAGCTGTGGCATTCAGCCTCACGGGACACAGGAAGACTCGGGAAGGTTTTTAAGGTGATGGGTGCTTGGGCTTCTCCCCCAGAAATCCTGTTTTAGATGATTTGAGGTGTAGCCCAAGCACTGGGAGATGTCAGCTTTCTCCAGGTGATTCCAATGTGCAATTCTGACTTCTAAACTCACATTACTTTTCATGTAGCAATGTGTCATATTTACATAAATACTTTCTCCATATTTCTCTCAGCTTCTTTATCTCTCAATCCTAATTTTGATGAGAAAATGTGAAATGTGGCATGATTCGCTGACCTAATCTTTACTCGATATCAAACCACAGACAACACCCCAGAAATTTTATCAGGGTAGTCAAAGAGGCAACCACAACTTTTGGATTTTTTGTGTGAGATGATAATTATAAGTAAACAGGAATAAATACTTTTTTTTTTTATACAGGTATCCCACTGTTGTGAGATTTATCCTACAGAATTTATCCTACAGAAATATCTCTTTAAATGTACAAAAATAAATGTCTAAGAATGCTACTGCACAGCTAGTTGTAATAGCAGAATATTGAGAAACAACTTAAAATATCTATTAGTAGGAGAATACAAATTATGACAGATGTAAAAATACCTATTAGTAGGAGAATACAAATTATGACAGATGTATATTATAGAATGATACACTAGTGTTTGAAAGAGTAAAGTTTATTTTTGTACACTGACAGCAAATTGATTTATTGGGTGAGGAAAGAAATTACAGAAGAATATTATACAATGACCCAATATTTGTTTAAAACAAATCAACCTATGCATATACATCAGGTTTTTTATGCAGAAAAAAAAATCTGAAAATACCTACATCAAATTCTTTTTTTAAAGATTTATTTATTTTATACAAGAACTGGGGTATAGCTCAGAAGTGCAGGAGGGTGAGAGAATTCACCAGAGACAGACCGGGGAGCAGAACAGGCAGACGAACCAAAGACACTGCTGAGGGGAGCAGCAGGCAAGGCAGGAGAGGTCTGCTGCGACCATACATCAAATTCTCATTGGTGGTTTGCTCCAAGTATTGGATTAGAGATAGAAGAGGGTTGAGGGTATGGAAAACTTCAGTTTTCTCTTTATTGTTTGAAAGTTTGTAATACAAATGTATGACAGTTGTAATTTTTAACAAGAAACTATAAAGCAGAGACACACTATGGGGTGGGGGGCAGGGAGAGGAAGGATTAGTGTCAAAATAAGGAGGGGTGCAACTGTATGGGGAATAGAACCATAATGAAAATGCAAACATTGTGCAAAAATGAAAAATTATGTAAGAATTATATAAAATAAAATATTTAAAATAAAATAAATGAATAAATAATGGTTGTAGTTTCAAAAAATTTTTATTTATTTAAAAAATGTATTTTTACAACAACAAAAAGAGCTTTAATCATTGCCAATGGTGAGCACCATATGGGGAGAGAGTGTTGCTGCTTGATAGGACTGGCTTCCATGAGGAGGGGCATCTCTTCTGGTTCACAAAGCATCGCTTTGAATTGAAAATGCAGCAGTGAGAAAGGGAGAAAAGCAAAAAGAAACAAGGCAAGAGGAGGTACTTATAGTTAATCCTGGAGGCCTTCTTGGGCTGTGATCTCCCCTGAAGGGAGTGTGGGATACACCTTAGGTCCAAGTCAGACGGGTGAGGCCAAGCCCCAGACCCAGAGCAATATCATTAGAATTTGTAAAGCAACTGAGCCATTTTTGAGTTGAGGAATGAATAATCAGAGCTCTGACCTTGGAAATTTCATCTTGTAGGAGTGTGGAAAGGTTGGATTCTTGGAACAGGCATACAGGGACCTTTCTTCCAGTCCTGACCAGTGATACCAAGCTGGGGGCACTGCTGGGGATCTAGAGAATTCCCAGGGCAGAGTTTGTTGTGCAATGGACTCAGACCACAAGAGTTTGTACATCAACCAAAAGAGGGTGCCAGAAAGTGGAGGGGGGAATGTCACCACCTAGATCAGGGAACACTATACCACCCGCCAGCAACAGTGGCTGAAAGCAGGAGCAAGGGGTGCAGGTCTGGGTATTCAAGTCAGTCACCCATGTGGCTCCCAGCACCTCACAGCAGGAAGTTCAATGGTGTTTCAGAGAAGTACAAACACTAAGTAGAGATTTTAATCTCTGAAAAACATTCACAGCTTTAAGGTCAGACCAAGACTACATTTTTTTTTTTCCAAAATTCATCTAGCTCCATTTCCCCTTTCCTGGCAAATTTCTTCTTTTTCTATGTCTTCCTGGAACTCAACAAAAATCTACCCAAAACAACTTCCTCCCTTGTTGGAACTGTCATCTCTGAAAGAAAAGAAAATATCCAGACCCCGAGTCTCTGGAGTGTTCCATCACAGAGAAGAGAGTCAGGCCTCTCTTCCCTCTTTGATCCTCTTTCTGTTGTCACTGCTGCTGTGACATCTTTGAGGGGAGAAGAAGAAAGGAGGAAAGGAGAGGAGTGAGGGGAGCAGGAGAGGGGAAGGGGGGAAGGGGAGGGGGAGGAGGGAGGGATGTGAGATCCCCAGCCCATGTTCTGGGGGAGGGGAGGAGTATTGTCTTGGTGCCCAGAGTTCCTGTTTGTCAGCTGGTGCAGGGTTGTGCAGGGGGCTTCTCACCAAGGACAGAAGTCCCAGTATGAGGCACATATTGGGAAACCAGAATGTGCTGAAAGCAGCAGGCAGATATTAGACTAGAGATCATATGCTTTGACCAGCAGGAACAATGGAGCCACTCAGGCATTAACCCCTGTCACTCCACCGTAGCTTACATCCCTGATAATGCATCCCCATGCATGTACTCTCCCCGGGTCCTTGCCCCACCTCTGTGATTCTAATAAATATGAGACTGCCTTTGGATTGGAGCTGCACATTATACCCTGGGTAGCCCCTCTGGGCTTCTCATTATTTACATGGACTTCTTCCAACGCTGCCCCACAAGGCAATTTGAAGGAGGGAAGGGGAGTGGAGGAGGAATGAGGCCCAAATCCTAGCAGCACCTGTCAATGATCAGGCTCTTTAAGGTGTCAGTCCTATCCCAGTGAGGGTCATGTGATTACCTTGGCAGATCTGGGCTTCATGGGCAAAAGCATCACTGCAGTAGTATTGCCTTGGAGGTGTTTTTCAAGTTCTTCTGAAAGAATTGTGTGACCCAAGGACTTTACCTGTAGACTAGTACCCACCCCCCTCCCTACATAGCCCCAGACAAGTGACAACACACAAGACTCAGCATGTGGATGGACCAGGGCCAGTAAAAAGACCTTAGTGTGTGCAACCTGACATCTATAGCCACACAAAAATGATAAATGCAGAAGTGAAGAGAGGTGGCTTGACCTTGACTTTTTTTTTTTAAGATTTATTTAATTATGCATACAAGAGCTGGGTATAGGCCAGGGGTGTGTGGAGTGGGAGGATTCACCAGAGAGAGCAGGGAGCAGAACAGGCAGATCTACTGAAATACACTGCTGAGGGGAGCAGCAGGCGAGACAGGAGAGGTCTGCCACGCCATGTGGGTCAGCTATTTGGCCCAGAATCAAACTCATGCTGCAGTGACTGTGGATAACTTCATAGGGCTGACACTAAACCCCTTGTGCCACCAAGGAAGCCCCTTGACCTTAACTTTTTAAAAAATTGTAAATTTTTTTTTAAATTGTAATTTTTTAAAAATCTGTACAGTTTAAACTATCTCTTCCTTCTCATTCTACGGTACCGAGAGGTGGCATCCAGGGTAGACTGAGAGTGCTTGAAAAGGAAATATACCTCTCCGACGCTTATATTTCTTGGGAGATGTGATATTGTAATTATCTATGTAGGATACACATTATCTATGTGGGTCCTAAGAATGACTCTAAAGAGAAATAAACAGCATGTCTCCTTCTAACAGTGATGTGAGCTACTTTGTGTAAAAATGGACCAGACTTGATTCTGTAGTCAACTGGTCCACCACTCAGCTACACCCCAGACATGCTTCTGAACAGTGTTATGTGACATCAGTTACATTCAATAAAGTACTATTTCCCCATGGGCTTATTATTTCAATTCTCTTACTCCAACAATCATAGTCATTATTGTAGTAAATCTTGCATTCGATTAAGGCTTTAAAACTTACAAGTACTTTCTGATAATTTAAGTAAAACAACTTGATAATGAAAGAAAATTGTTGATTGCCTTTAAAAGAGAAGAACCTGAATTTTTAATCTATTACCCTCTAATTTGTTTTCTATCTTATGGTCTCACTACAATTAGGTACACGTGAGTAATTTACTCTGCAGAATTTGAGCACACAATCTTTGCTCATTTCCCTGTTTTAGAACAGAATTATCACTACTATTTTAGGGTAGATAAATATCAAGATGTTTGGCATAACCAACCCCATATTATCATAATTCCAAAAGCATAAAAATATTCAAACTAAAATCTAACACACTAAAAGAAAGTGAATTAGGATCTATAGGAAGAAAACTATATTGTTTTCTCCATAAAAATCAAAAAACACTTATACTAGATATACAGCTCTATAGATAGAGTTAAAATAAGCTACAAAACTAGAAAATGGGGCCTCCTCGGTGGTGCAGGGGTTGAGCGCTGGGTTGTGAAGCTGCCCGCAGCCTCTGCAACGCCGGTTCGATCCCCAGCCACCGGGTGAGGGTCCCACATAGCACACAGACCTCTCCTGCCGCCCGCTGCTCCCCTCAGCAGTGTACTTCGGTCCTTCTGCCTGTTCTGCTCTCTGCTCTGACTCTGGCGAATTCTCGCACCCTCCTGCGCTTCTGACTGTACCCAGTGCCTGTATAAATAAATAAATAAATCCTTAAAAAAAAAAAAAACTAGAAAATGATTTGCAGTGTGAATTGCATGTAAGTTAATGCCCCTGATGTATAAATACAAAGTGGTCTTCAAGTTATGCAGATAAAGAGGGGGCAACAGAGCCTGGTCAAAGAAAGTGCTAGGACAATTCACAACTAATTACAAGTGTCCGGGGCTGCTTAGGAAGACGATGTCACTATCACAAAGCTACCTAAGAAATACAAAGAAAAATTGATATATCTGAGTCCATCAGTCCATGATCAGGCTTACTCATTTTGGGGAAATAGGCACTGACAAGCATTTTTACTCAAATAGCAAATTAGTAAGCTTTTGACTTGGCATACTTTAATCCAGTAGAACCATTTCTGGTAACTTAAGTAATAAGACACTGGATTCACAGTTAGCATTCACTCAAGGGACTATATGTTCTTTGTCAGAGGAAGAGACAGACAGACAGACAATGAAACTTAAATGCATGGTGATTCTGGCCCCCTGCCCCAATCCCTTCATGTAGTAGGTATGTGCCAGGAGAGAGGCAGGAACAGCTCTGCCCAAAACTGTCTTCAACTCATCTCAAAGGGTCTCAAATGGAAAGAGCACCTCACTGCTGGACTGGCTGACAGGGTTTATAGGGAAATGTACTATTCACCTTTCACACAGCACGTGGCTCCAAGCAAAATGCAAGACAGCTAGTCCAGCTGGTACTTGTTGAGAGCAGCTGTAGGAGCTAAAATAGAACACCCTGGCTGTGCCTTGGAGGAAGTCCCATCTTTCTTCAGGATAGCATCCACCTAATTTTCTTTGGAGATGCTGAGTACTTGAAAGGCTACCATGCAGGGCCTCCCAGGTTGTGCAGAGGTTAAAGACACAGCACTATTGAGTTACTGCCAGACACTTTGGCCTGAGTTCGATCCCCAGCCAGGGAGCCACCCTCATAGCACAGCAGACCTCTCCTGTCTCTCCCGCTGCTCCCCTCAGCAGTGTGTTACAGTGGAACCATCTGTTCTGCTCCCCACTCTGTCTCTGGTGAATCCTCTCACCCCCCATCCCCCCTCCTCTGGCTTGCACCCCAGCTCTTGTATGCATAAATAAATCTTAAAAAAAAGAAAAGTTACCATGCAGTCATCTATCCTGACACCCCACATGTCATGTGACACCAATGAACAATGGCATCTATCCTGGTGGTAATAATGTAGAGGAGTGAAAAACTGGGAAAGGGCCCTAAATCTATCAGCAGACATTTGGAAAACATATGAGACACTGTTCAGTGGAGCACTCTGTAGAAATAAATGCTGTGGGGCTTTCTGTGTCCATATGAAAGTGTCTAATACACAGAGACAACAGAGATCACATAAGGGCAGATCTAACGAGACTCACTTATGTAAAGTTTAATATGTTTTGAAAATGAGTATGTGAAACTCAGCCTGTTTTTGTGTTCTCATGCCTGCGCATATTCACAGGGAAATAACTAGAAGGATTTTTCAGAAAAGATAACTACTCTTCTGCGTGGTCGGATTTTGAGCAGATTTTACTCTTCGGGTTTCATTTGATACGTTTTTGTCTTTAGTTTTCTAACTCACATGAATTTTTACAGGAACATGTATATACTTAAAATCAGAAAAAAAATAATAAAGCTATCTCCATTTTCAAAGCAAAAAGGAAACTGATGCCAGTAAGAGAACCCTCAAAAGCAGCTTTTCAGGGCTCACTTGCTACTGGATGAGGAATCCCTTCTTCCAACAACCATAGGAAACATCTGCAAATGACCCAGATGTCATTCATTTTGCTGTTCCTAAGTGCCCTAGCATTGAGTATCTTATTTTATTCTCTTGTCATGAGAAAAAAATACTCACAATCCCCTATGTTTGACTTCAGGAGACAAGAACTGCTTGCCATGTACACTGCTAGAAAATAAAAATATGGAAATGATAAAATGTGTTTCCCTGAAATCCTCAAGAAACTGTTGGGGACACTAATCACACAGATGAATGGAATCAACAGTCTACTCTCAAGGGAGGGGCAATTAATGCTTCCTGGAGGACTGAGGTAAGGCTGCCCCGAGAGGATGGCACTGGGCTGGGGTCTTCAGTGACCAGAGACCAGGTAGGTAGAGCAGACACAGAGGCACTGCGGGGGAAGCACAGCTGGGGAAAGGCAGGGGGTGCACATCACATCTGATGAGCAAAATGGAAGAGGGAGAGAAGGGGGTCACACAGGCTGGAAGAGAATGTGAGGACCAGAATCTGCTAGGGGCTTCTATGTAGCAATAAATGTCTATGGCTGGAGATTTTGTTTGGTTTGAGAGAAAGACCGACAGTGGATCCGTGGATCATCTCTGGCCAGCAGACCTGTGTGTGTCTCCCTGTCTATGCTCCAGCACGGCCAGCTTGGAGACTGTCAGCAGTTAGTAAACACATATTGATTAAATGGCAGTCAATGAGCTACAGTTGTAGAAGTTAACACAGCATGAAAATATTGACGAAAGTGAGAAGCTGTGTTTTTTTTTAATTTTATACATACATATATTTTTAAAGATTTACTTATGTTTTTATACAAGCACTGGGTACAGTCAGAAGTGTGGGAGGGTGAGAGAATTCGCCAGAGCCAGAGCAGGGAGCAGAAGGGGCAGACGGACAAAATACACTGCTGAGGGGAGCTGTGGGCGTGGCAGGAGAGGTCTGTGCACCATGTGGGACCCTCGCCGGTGGCCAGGGATCGAACCGGTGCTGCAGATGCTGTGGGCAGCTTCACAGCCCAGCGCTCAACCACTGCACCACCAGGAGGCCCTAATTTTATGTTTTTTACATCATTCTTCATTTTTGTACAATGTATGCTTTCTCATCTCTGTTATAGTCCTGGTGAAATTCCCACCCTAATTCACCCATTTTAATGGTATTGTGAGTGTCCCCAGAGACTGTGATGCAGGCAGGTCTTCTTTCAGTCTCTGATTTGACTCAGCAATCCTTGCTCTTAAGACTGAGGACACAGGGCCTCCCCTGGTGGCACAGCGGTTGAATGCTGGGTTGCAAAGCTGCCACAGCCTCTGGAGCACCAGTTCAATCCCTAGCTGCCGGCAAGGGTTCCACATGGCATGCAGACCTCTCCTGCGGCGCCCGCTGCTCCCCTCGGCAGTATATTTCGTCAGTCTGCCTGTTCTGTTCCCCCCTCTGGCTCTGGTGAATTCTCTCACCCTCCCACGATTCTGACTGAACCCAGTGCTTGTATAAATAAATAAATAAATCTTTAAAAAAAAAAAAAAAGACTGAGGACACTATCAAACTTGAACATGTATTTTGTGCTCCCTCCTCATCTGCCTCACCTTTCTCCTGTCAGCTAGGCTGTCATCTAAGTTCCTTTAAAAAAATAAAATAAAATAATTAATTGTCTGTCACCACAGTTCCTTGCAGTAAGAAATGGAAGGTGTGTCCTCTTTTAAAGAAAAATGACAAGACAGAGTATTGGGTAACCCCATGGCACTGGCATGTGGGAGATAAATTTATTCACCAAGAGAGATGGAGCACCTTGTCTGTCTTTCCAACTCTATTTATAAGGTTTCAATAGCTGTTTATGCTTTCAGGATGTGACACTTGGCATGAAAACCAGTCCCCTTGCAGCCCATGTTTAGGTGGAGGGTGACCATGAGTAAACATCCCAGTGATGGAATTCCACCAGACGCCCAGCAAGGCTTTCATCTGTGTGCAGGAGTGACAAGTAGGCCTGGCTTCCTTCGGCCTGGAGTGGGAGCACAATTAGGAAGCTAAGGATCTGTGGGCTTGTTTGTGGAACTTACCTAGGAAATTGATACTCCCTGAAAGTGCCCCTTCATTCCAATGTCATTTCAGATAGAGCAGGTAAAAGGATTACCCTGGTGGTGCTGGCCCCCAACCATTGTCTGCACAAGCCAGCACTGAATGGGGTAATTTAACCCCCAAAGAGATAACCAGCTGCTGTGTGTGTACTCACATTTACAACTGGCAATTCCCATGAAGTGGTGAGGTTGTTTTCTGGGGACTTTGACATCATTAAACGCTGGTTGCAGAATCTGAGATGGTTCTGGATTAAAGAAGTGAGGCTGTCGAAGAATAAGCCAGGGTCCTGAACCCAGACTCTTGTAAGGAACCAGATCTCCCAACCCTGGAAGGCCCGTGATAAATAAGACAACACTCACAGTTTTTTTATGTGAACTTAATTTTAAAATATTAATATTTATTTTCTTGAAAAAAAATAAATATATTAGAAGCCCCAGAGAAGAAAGAAAATGAGTTGTGAGCCTGTGATATTAGTGGTTTCTGCCTTAGTGACACAGGTGAAAAGACCAATGTCTGATCCATGTCCTTTCTCTGTTTATGACTTGAAAGTTTCAGGCATCACAGCCCCACCCCCAGCCCACCGCATACCTCACCTCTACCCCACCTCTAGCCAGCCCAGATTCCCTCGCATTACTCCCCCACCGCCAGCCCCAAAGCCCAAAAGAAGAACCTCTTCTGCTCTTAGCCTTCACATTCTTCAGCTGATTTTAGACCACATTTCCCTTTATTGATGGAAATCTCCTACACAGTAAACAACATTTAATATTTCTGAAATAGGCACATAAAGAAAGTAAAAGTGATTTATAATCACCTTCCAGATAGTGCTCATTGACAATTAAAAATTATTTAAAGCAACATACAGTATACATGGTGACAAATATTTAAACATGATGAAAGGTAAAAATAATTTTCAATGAAATCAACCTTCACCACAAAGATTACCACTGTTATTTTATCTTGGGTCTCCTTCCAAACTAGAAAAAGAAATGCATACAGCAGCAACCTATACATCGCCCTGTACATAATTTATTCAAACTAAAGGAATAATCTCCACACTATTTTACATTGACCCTTTTCACTTAATTGTATATACTGGCAAGTTTGTCACTTCTGAAGTATTTGGATCTACTTCACTTTTTTTTTAATGGCTCACCTATGGTTGGACTAGAGACAGTCTCCCGCGAGACACTTGGAAGAATTTCATGAACTGTAAGCAGGAGACACAACTCTGTGCCTCAGTTTCCTCATCTGAAAAAATAAGAAAAAAGTAGTCATTGAGTGGATACATGGAAATAGTTGAAAGGTATCTGACACAGAATAAGTCTTATTATTGCTATTATTATACATATGCATTAATGTGGTTCCCCACAGAAATTTTAAAACAAATATTAGCCATTATTTTCATCTACTTATCCATTAGAAACTTTTAGGTAAGTCTCAAAGTATGTCGCTACTTAAATTAGACTAACATGAGACACCTTTGTTTTCTGGAGCCAAACCTTTCAGAATAACTAGAAAGATTGAAATGAATCTAGCCCATTGTAGTGATGGAAATACTTTTTCTAAAACACAAGAAAATTCCCCAGATGAAACCACAGCTTGAGTTCTGCTTTATAAAACAGCAGACAATATCAAGGGACAAGTTGCTGAGGAGAAATAGAGAAGACTACCATAGCCAATTGACAATGCAAGGAAAATTGTGGTGGGCAGAATGTAATTACCTGAACTGGAACTCAGCCAGTGTATCTATTTGCCCAGCAGAAAGAAATCAGACCAGATGTTTGGGGGAAAGGGTTTAGGTTTGGCCAACATTTCCCAAGATAATCTTTCCATCAGCAGTAAGATCATTATATCCAGGCATTAAGGAAAGAAGTAGAAGGTTAGGGCTGAAAAGGATAAACCTTAGGAGATTGGTTTGTACAGCCGTGATTCTACAAATGAGAGATTGACTGACTTCCACAAGTAACATATCCAGTTAGCAAAAGAATTGAGGTTAACTGAAAAGTGTCTTAACACCCAAATCAGTGTTTATCCCACAATATTACACTGGCTTGTTTGTACAGCATCCTAGAACACCCTTCAACACTTAAAAATAAGGCAAGACATATGTGAGTTGGAGAATAATTGAAAGTTTTGAAGTTAGATCTGAAAAGCAATGCAATAAAAATAGTTAAGGGCCACAGAGATTAGGGAGATTATGGCATTTTTATTGTTCTTGGAGAGGAATGACTTAACCTGCTTTGCATCTAAGAGGGGGTTCTAGACCTCATGTTTCCCTATTCCCCACTCCAACTTTAACAATACTGTTTCTGAAACATTTTATATATTTCATGGCTTTGCAGAAAGAGAATTGATGCAAGGTTCACTGCAAAAGCAACAAGAAAAAAATCAATGCCATTGTTTTGGCACAAAACCCCATGCAATATAATGTTTAAATTTCATTTGGATAAAACTTTGGAGATTTGAATGAGTCAAAGAAATGCAACAGATGTCTAATTAAGTTGAGTTTGAGACTTTGGCTTTCTCCCCTACACCATTTTTTTCACCATAATGACCTAACATTTCCAAAAACCATTTATTGGATACCTACAGAATTTATTTAGACACAGCCAATAAGGAGAAAGATCAAAAATTGACAAGTTTTTCATTTAACTGTACAGACCTTATCCCTATGGTGTCATCGGCACATGCACTTGTTTAAAGTGTCCCTCAGTAAATTTTTTTTGCACTAACTTTCTTCACAAAGTTTAACAAAGAGAAGATGAAAAGGTTCTGGAGATCATAGCAGACAATTGGACTATGCTTACACTACTAAACTGTGCAAGTAAAAATGTTAAAGAGAGTAAGTATTTTTACCAAAATACAATTTTTTTTTTTTAATTTTAGGGGCAGCATGTGCCCTTTTTTGGTCTTTCCTCCTTCCTCTCAACTGGAATGCAGATGTGATGACTGTTGCTCCGACAGCCATCTTGAGCCACGCAGAGGATGCCACACCACATGCTGAGGAAGGTGGAGTAACCAGAAATTGTATAAGGAGTATCAAGATTCTGGGCCAAGAAAACTGGACCCTGACATGGAGGGCGTCACACCAACCCTGCATAG